GTTCTGCTACTTAGTGCATATACAATGGCTTACCAAAAATGAAAACAAATGCCTTATAGGTTAAACATTATCACGTCCAGGAGCTTTTTCAAAGTTTTTCAATTAAGTTGTGCTTTAACATCTAAACATTCCACCCTCCTAAAACATTTGATCCAAAAGTCCAAACAACATTCTTCCTTGTGAAAACTGATGAGAAACTTTCATTTAAATTCTAAGAAATCTCATAGTGATCAACAAACACTTTACCCATATTTTTCAAAGATCTAATTCTCATTTTACTGATTGTTGAACTCTTTTGTAATTCTCAAAATCTTCCATTCTGTCCATCATTTTAAGATTTCTACACACATATGTGTATTTCTTATTTTATCTCTTATGTCTCTAGTAAGTTGTCTAGATCTGTTCCTCATGATAGTCTTTTTATTTTTTTTAGAAGAAATATTCCTATTCTGAATTAAAAACCATTTGCCCTTGAACATGCTTGCTTTTTGTCCTCAACATTGGCTTTAAAAAAATGTAAACCCAAGTTTTTGGTAGCTAGCATATCCATGTAAAATGCACATACTTTTTTGAGAGAAAAGTGTCATTTTTTATTTTGCACATATCAATTACATATGTACTATTACTTACATATTACAATATGAATTGGTGTGCCTACTGTTTGCACACTGAAAAGGGATATTTTTCCACTTAGATGCTTGCATCATGCTTAAAGAGAAAGTAAATCACAATTAGGTGTGTAGCGATACATGGAACTTTCGACAGATTGCAATTATGAACATCCTGATAGCAATGCAAGGATGGTACATTTTAGAATTGATAACAATTGCTGATAGTACTCTGCGCTGTGGATGTTTTGATGGTCTGTAAATTTAATTGTTTTCTCCATTGTCTTTGTTTTATTTAAGTATGTAATTTCCCTTTGTTTTAGTCTAATTATACAGTCTCTACTCACCTGTAAGCCTAAAATTGTGCATATCACATCTGTCATTAGCATCAATATTCCCTTTAAGTTTTCAATCCATGTGTTGAATGAATTTTTTCATGTGCATCAGTATCAAAGCACATGTGCACTACTACTTTTTTTTTGGGGGGAGGGGGTATTTTTAGACCATCAACCCTATTGGATCAATAGGCCTATTAACTGCCAGACAAATATAGTTAAAACCACATAGGCAATGAAAATATCAAATTAAATAATAGGTTGAAAAATTGCCAAGTTTTTATATATTTTTATTTAGAGAAGGATGATGCTTCGAGCTAGCACTCTTTGTCAGATCACACTGTATGATCTGATGAAGAGCACTTTCTCGAAATGTCATCCTTCTTGAGAAGTGCAGTTGATTCTGTGTATCATAGTTATCTTTCTGTTGTAGCAATGCTTTCTGAACTACGTATACCAGATGCACCAGCTAAATCAATACACATACATTAATGGCTTTAATTACAAGCCTCATGTTAGATATCCATAATGAAATTCAGGTATTAATTTGTGAATTGTAGCAAGAAAATCTGGTTTTCAATCAAGTGAGAACACTAGTTGAATATATTTGAGCTGAATTGGATGAGCTAAAGAAAGGTGATGAAAATTACAGGAAAATGATGAGCACTTTGGAACAGAATGGTGGGTGTATGAAAGATGTAAAACTTTGTTTCAGAACTAAAGCAGCTGATGAGTAAATACCCAGACAGACTTCAACAGAACATTAGTAATAGGCTGACACAACAAGATGGAAACATCATCCATAATTTGGTATATGTGCTCGAGCCTTCTATTTCTGATGAAGATTAGCAGATGGGGCTATTACTGATCCTGCAGGATTTTTATGGAACCAATAAACTCACCAAAATTTCACATGATGCTGGGAAGAACACTGAAATTGAAGTGATGCCCATGCTTAACAAAAATTATTTGGTACAAAATAAAAGGCACATATAAAAACTCAAAACTGAATATTTATGTAAAAGGGTTATTAAACTGCACAGTGATCAATTTTCTAGCATGTCAAAATTGCGTTGAATAGCTTTTTGATTTTGTGTAATAAGCATTGATTATGAAAGAGCCTTTTCTGTACAAAATAGACTCAAGACAAAATTCAGATGCTCTAAAATGGCTGAAAGCATAGGCTGTTTAATGTGAATGATAATGTTAAGCCCAGAAATTCCATTTTATGATCCCAATCCTGCAATGAAAATGTGGAACAGTGCTAAGAACAGAACCTTACAAACAGGGAATTAAGAAAATTAAAAATAAGTAAATGTGTAATTGTGTATATGGGTTTTTATAGTATTTTCTTGAGGCCAACTACACAATAATATAATGTTACGTGTCTGGTCATTTGCTCATTTCCGGTATAAATTTTTCCCGAGGAACTTCAGCGATACAAGTCCTTTCTTAAATAAAACTAG